AATTTGAATATCTTAGGGATGTCAGGAAGACATTTTATGTCTAATTCAACATGAAAAGACACCTGTCAAATATTTTTTGTAAACAATGCAATTATGGTTGAGTGATAATTGCACACTGTGCAATTACCGCTGTAATTTTTCGATAATTGCACACTTCAAACGGATAGATTATCATACGAAGGAAATATTCATCAAAATTACACGCGTGCATCAAAATAAACAGATAATTTTGCATTCGAGCTTGTTGTCTTGTTAAAACTGCATTCGTGTATTTTCACATTGGAACGAAAAATTTTTCGCCACAATATGAGAATAAAGTCATGCAGTTTTTAGACAACAAGCTTTCATGCAAAATTATCGGTAATTTTGAAGCACTTGTGCAATTACCCCCAATTATATGCAGCGCGTTCGCTTGTATTGAGCATTTATTTTTGATAATTTTTGATAATCACCGATACAGGGTGTTTGATCCTCCACCGCCAAAAGAAGAAAAAGTTTATGTAAGCACAGCTCAGCAAATCAAGGCTTTTGAGATGCAGAGGTCAAAATTTTAATTTTTTCAGTCTATTAAATATCTACAGACTCAGGCAGAAACTTAAGACAACAAACAACATTAAAACAAAAATTTGAATACTAACATACACGCAAATCGAAAATAATGTACTTAAGTATTGCAGTATCTCGAAAACCTAGCATTTGCGGATATATTTTTAAGTGAACATGAAAATTAATTACGTTAATAATTCGCCAATGCTAGATTTATTTAATTTAAATATCAAAGGTTAAAATATTTACACTGTTACTACAAAAACTGAAATTGCAAAAAAGCAAGAAGGTATGCGCTACTTTACTATTTGCAAGAACAATCGAGTTGTTACTCATTTAAACTGACTTATGCAGAAATAAGAATTTCAGACAATAATTACTTTATAAATGGTTTAAAGAAAACTTTCAGCAGAAAATACATCAAAACTTATAATAACAGGGTCATTTTCCTACCCAGGCTTCCATTACAGTTTAAAATGCGTCGAAGTTCTTAACCAATTGAAAATTTTTCCTCCTTTTCAGTACATTGTACAGTCTCGATTACCGACTCATAAAGCAGGGACCAGTTTCAAAGTTTTCCTATTTGCAATCTGTGCTTGTATGGGATTGGTGTGTTCTTTGACCAGAATAACGGACAGACGACACCATTGGTGGGACGTGCTAACTGGAACAATTATTGCCTTATTTGGAGCTGCTTATACTATCAGAGTCCTTCATGCCCAAGTAATCATTTTGCATCGAAGGATCATATCAGATCAGATGAATTTCGGAGAAGATGGAATGAAGGAAACCTGCGAGACTTGTATAGTGTAGTTAACCAATAAATTAATATTTTAGAAAATATTGAATGTTATTTCAGTTACCATCATTTTGCGCATTTATACCGAGCTAAAGTAAAAACATGTCAAAAGAGTTTTGCTATTATAAAAACACAGAATACAGCAAAAAAAGCCTTTATTCAAATGGATATGTAAACAAGCGAATCTGCTATTTCTGCGGCTGTGTTTTTAAACATTTTTCCAGTGAAAATGTATTAAGCATGGAGATTCATTCCGCCTACTGAAAACATGTACCCGCATACTAAACAGCTCGCCCAGAAATAGCTAGATAACGAAATTAAAAACGTATTTTAGCTGCTAGAGGCCATAACAGAGAAACATCCTGTACGTGGGAGTTCACGCTCCATGAAAACGATTAACACGCTTAGGGCTGTTTAGTAAAACATGCAAAAATATAACCAAATATCATTACGGCGTTAAAACAAATCGAAAATGTCCTCTATATGCTTGTATTCGTGCAAGTAAATTGTTAATAAAACCAGAGATTTTTTTGCACTAGTACACTCAAGAATAGTTTTTATAAACTCTTAAGCTACGAAAGAACAATTTTTGAAACAAGCATATTTAAATAAATTTCAAAGTTTTTTTCATCAGTCTGCAAATGTATTTCTATTCGACAGCTTCATTTCTCGGGCTCCCCTCATTATTAATTACGAAACTTTGGACGCTTCGAACTAGAAAATCCTCTACGTTTTTAGTAATTGCTAAATCCTATCACTCTGAAGTTTACCTTTTTCTTTATTGGATATACATTTGGATCGTTTGAAGCTGTTTGTACTCCATGTACGGAAAATGCGTTAAACGAACCTAACGCCAAAAGACAATTGCCAAATTTCAAGGTTTTCTCATTAATTTTATCTAAAAAAACTGGAAAATCCGAAGTCTTTTTGTAAAAAGAACTGCCTTAGAAATTAAAAATAAAACATCAATACTCTCAATGTCGTATTTCAATTACTGCGTATTGGAAGCGATTGATTTCTTTTTGGAGGTGTTTTCATAGTCTGTTGGGAGTTTTATAAGAATTGAAGAAATCGTTAGACATTCATCCGGCATATATGTTGACAAATTTTATTTAACAAGCAGGAAGCTGATTAAAAACTGACGTTCTACTTGTATGGCCCGGTTTAGGATGATATTAAAGAGATTTTATATGTAAAATAATTGACAAAAACCAAAAAAAATGTCAAACAAAAAACACCAATTTACTCGAGTTCTACGCATTTCCCATTTTAAATAAATTAAGTTTTTTCCTACTTTCTGTCCAATTCGAAAATGTTTGTATCTTTTTTATATTATTATGACTTTTAGAAGGGTATCGTTGCCACTTATGGAAAAGTTCCTTGCTTGCTTGCTTGCTCAAGGCAGAAGGGTGAATTTTGATGTATTGTTGTAACAAACACTCACTTAAATCCTAGCATTTTTTCTTTTTAAAAAATTTAGAATTTGTACATACATTCCTGACTGTGTTTCAATTCCAAATCAAAATCAATTCCTGGGCTTCAGTCATTTATTGTCTCTAATTATCAATTAATATTTAGAATTATTCAACATCAGGCACAATTCTTTGCTTGAATGGCTAAAGTTTGAATAATTTTATATTAAGATAAATAAATACAATACACCAACCCGACCAAAACAAACTCCAAGAATTTAGATTTATAGGCTGACAAAAGTAGATCAGTTTATTCAAACCATAGAGATTTTCCAAAATAAATAATGTGGAAAAAATGTACGAAAATGAAAAGTAATATTGGAAGAGTGTAAGAATTTTTAGCTTTTCTGTTTAAATCAAAAATGTTATATGCTTCAAAATACAACCTATAACTTACAGTTGCTTTTATCATTACTGCCAGCAAACATTTGCTTGCACAATTTCCAAACAAAATTACTAAACAATTACGCATAACTCATAAAAAAAAATTCATGTTTGTGTGTAACGACTTAAAAAACTCCCTTATTACAATGATGCTAATTTTTAGTTACGTTACGCGAAATATTTCTTTGAGTTTTTGAGTATTATTATGTTCGGACCAATTGTCCGATTGGAAGATTTCGCAAAAAGCAAAGGTGCTTGCCGTCAAATTTCAAAATGGGAAAAAAATTGGCTTATATAAATATATCTTTATGGAAATACTGACAGTTTTTTACTTTAGACCATTACTTCTTTTACGGATCCTAAACTTACGCAGTTTTTCGAAACACTTGTTGAGAGTTTAAAAAACCTTCAGCAGAAGGATTTAACACATGTAACTAAGTTTAAAGCACACTTTTTGTCCACACCAATGTTTTGTTTGTTGACGAAAAACAAAAAAAACAAGCTTTGAAAAGTTTACTCCCCAACTTTTGTGTTCTTCAATGGCAAACAGATGATTTACCTGGCAGCTTCGAAAGACATTAACAACAATTAATGTCGATTCTCATTAATTTCAAAACTTGTTCTTCTTGACGCCAGCGTCTGGAACATTAAGCTAGGTCGAT